TATATATATTTATATATATGTATGTATATATAAGAATTAATTAAAAAGTAAATAAATAAATAAATAAATAAAAAAGAAAGAGACTAAGAATAAAAACGAACTGACGTTATAAAGTTAAACGCGAAAGGAAAGAATGAAAGAAAATTAAAAATAAAATAAAATAAGAATAAGACGACAACAACAACAACAAACAAGAACAACAAAAAATTAAAAAAGAAGAAAAAAAAAAAATGCCACACGACGATATATGAAAATTTGAAAAAAAGGGTGGTGAAAACACACAGCAAACACATTAATATTATAATTAATTATAATAAATACAATATTTGTACAATAATCACAACGGTGCTATGGTGGATGTTGGAGATCTAAATTACGATATATCCCGTCAACCAACCTAATCCCGATCTAGAATATTATTTTAATGGCGAAGTGCGTTTTGAGAAATACTTTTTTCTTTTTTTCTTTTTTTTTTTTTTTCTTTTTTTCTTTTCATTTTATTTTATCGGTCGATCGTACAGGATATCCCAACAACGTTTCTTTACCGAGAGAAGAAAAAAAACAAAAGGAAGAAAATTAATTAATTTTGAAATTACGATATTTTTGTTTTTCACGTGTAATTATGAATTTTTAATTACAACTTTGTTTAATAATTATAGAAACAATTCTGCCATTTGTTGTAATAGAATATTTTTTCAAATAAAATTTTAGAGAATTTTTCGGAAAATTTTCAAGAGATTTTACGAGAAACTTTATGGGACACCCTAGCCGATTGATTTATGGATCCTCTCTCTATCGATCTATCGACAAATTTAAAAAGTATAAAATGTCGCGGTGGTGTCTACGGAAAGTTTTCGAATGTAGAAAAAAATCATTTATCGTTTCCTTCTTTTAATTCATTAATTTTATTTCATTTATTTGTCATTGCTTCGATTCGATTTTCATTTCAATTCGAAGGCTCAAATTTGAACGATCGATTCGATGTGTGTGTGTGTATAATGAGTATTTATCGTTTTTCATAACATCTCGAAAAGAAAATTAATAAATTTATTATAATTTTATTTATTTTAATTTTTTTTAGGTTTTCAGATATGCTATTTTATTAGTTGACCGATATTGAAAAATTAATGCGCCTCGCCTAATAAGGTTAGTTCGTTAAACATTTAGGAAATTGTCTTTTTTTTTTTTTTTTTTTTTTTTTT